GTCCATTAAGATTTGCTTTATAGGGCTGGCGAGATGGCTCAGTGGTCTAAAGCACCTACTTGGAACAAGCTGTGCAAAGCACAGGAACCGCGGTTCAATCCCCCAGCACCACATGCCAGCCAGCCCCGCCCCCTGGTGGGCTAAGGTGGCCACACACACACACACACACACACACACAAATAAATAAAATTTTAAAAATAAATAAATGTATTTGGTACAGGGTCTCACTACAAAACTTGGACGCACAATGATCCTGTTTTCAGCCTCCCCAGTGCGGATGACAGGTGTGTGCCACCACGTTCAGTGGCCTGCTCAGCACACCCAGGGGTGGGGCCAGCGCGGCATGTGGTGCTGGGGGAAGGAACCTGTGGCTGTGCTTGCCAAAGCAGGTGCTTAGTCCACTGAACTATTTCTCTGGCCCTTAGTGGACTTTGAAAAAAAAACAAAACACCACTTTGTTAGCCACAGGCCAAATGCTACATTTCTGTCTCCCTCTAGCACCCCTGCAGATGCCTCAGGAAAGCCTCATCAGTCAAAGACTGCTCCCACGGGACCCCACCTCTCCTGTCTGCGGGTGTCATGTACCCCACTCCTGGGTGCAGAAGCCTTTCACCACTGCCCTGTTCTCAAGAGAAAGACTTCTGCATCCTAGTAATTAACTACAAGTCAACTATTCTGGAGAAAGGAACTAAGATAAGAACCAGAAGAACTGAATCGCTAAGCTACCTTAGATCCCAGAAGTGATTCTCTGGCCCCCTGCAAGCTGACAACAGCCCGTGTGTGAGAAGAACAAGGCACTAGTACTACCAATGGGGTGGGCTCCCAGGTCTTCTCAACCCCCACGACTCCTGCGGGGGGCATCTGGGCAGACTCTGCTGGCATCAGCCCCATCTCCTCAGCTTGCCCCCGCCTTTCAACCTTTTAGTGGGACACTGCCCCAAGTTGTCTTGGAGTCACAGGTCTTCAGAGCAGGGACTAACTTGTTTATCATTACAAAGTGATGTAGTGGAAGGGGGTAGATTTTTGAATACCACAGGATTAAAGTTAAATACCCGTTACTACTACATGAACAGCTGCACGAAACACATTCTACCCGAAACACATTCTACCCAAGTGCACAGAGAACTCTGACCAATATTGAACCAGATCACAAAAAGCCTCACATGCTAAGGAAAAAAAAAAAAAATCCCTCGAATTCTAAAGGATTAAAATAATTTAGAATAATCAGCCATGGGGTTAATCTAGAAAATAGAGGGAGAAAACTAGAACAATGGCAACTATTTGAAAAAAAAAAGCAATGCTTTTGGTTTTTGTGGTACCAGGGATCGAACTCAGGACACTGCACTTGCCAGGCAGGTGCTTATGCCGTTGAGCTATCTCCCTGGCTTGCTTTTGGTTTTTGAGACAGGGTCTTGCTACACAGTTCAGGCTGCCCCCAGTCCCCCGTTGATTCTCCTGCCAGCCTTCTAAGTGCTGGCACTACACACATGCACTACTAGCAGCAGCAACGCTTTCTAGTGATGTACTATATCCTTCAGCTACCTATGGTGACATACACTTGTAACTTAAGAATTTAGGAGTGTGAGGCAGGTAGATTGCTGCAAGCTTATGGCCAACTTGGGCTACAAAGAGAGTTTAAGTCAGGTTGGAATACGTAATGACTTGCTTAGGCAGACACAGGAACCGGGGTTCAATCCCTGCTGTGCCATACCAGCCCTGGGGCATGCTGGGATGGGGATTGAGACTGGGCGTGGCGGTGCATGCCTGTAATCCCAGCACTTGGGAGGCTGAAAACAGGAGGATCGCTAGCATCTGATCTGTGTAGTGAGACCTTGTACTAAATATGTTTTTTAAAAAATGTTAACTTTCGGGGCCGGGGAGATGGCTCAGTAGAATAAGCGCTTCCCTGGTAAGTGCAAGGGTCTGAGTTCAACCCCCGGTTCCACAAAAAAAAAAAAATAGGAATCAATCTCACAAATAAAGTAAAAGATTTA